CAATTACTTTCTCTGAAATACAGCCATGGCAGCTGACAAAACCTAAAGTATACTAGAGAATAACAACTCTTCATGCTATCCATGAGGGCAAAGCACCTTGAAGGTCCAGTAAGAAAAAGGCATCATATTTACTCAATCTGCAAAAACCATTAAATGCATACATCACTCATACATTAAAATATAAATAATCAATGGAATTAAAAACATGCCTATTAAGAAAAAGCTTCAACAGACAACAGAAGTTACTGTTTAAAGACATTTTCCATTTAAGCAATAGTACTCAAAATCTGGCAAAGCAAAAAATGTATTCACAGAAGGATAGCTAAGAAGGCAGTTCTACAACCACCACCAACAAGGCTTCTTTTCCATGTCACCATCAGATGTATCTTTGAGGGTAATGGGACCAAAAGAAAGGCTTTAGGTCCCATCACGGGGAAGCTCATATAAAGGAACACAACCTTTCAGATAACCTGGACCCCCACTCCCAGGCAGTGCTTCATTGAGGCTTGCCTCGTGCATAACAACTATGTTTCTTTCAGACTATGGTCACCACACTTTTGTACTATTTGTGAGTAATGTGAGTGCCTCAGATCATATGTTTAACATTTATCTGGACACACTAGTTAACTATCGTCCACTGTAACATCTTCCTGCTATCTTTGCCCTCTTTCTACTGCTACCTAGCCCTAACCTAACAGAAGCAGTAGAGGTGCCAGGAAATCATCCACAAATAATCAAATCCAGGAAGCTCAAACTTGCAAATGTGTAGGAACAAATGTATTATGTATTTTCCCACAACTAAGTAAACTTACAAGCCTTACAGAAAGGAGCAGTACATATTTAGCCACCAAAAGGGGGGGGGGAGAGAGAGAGAGAGAGAGAGAGATAATTCTCTGCCATAACATGCTATACACTCCAAAAACTTGCATCTATTCTGCAATTTTTCCTATGTTCTTTCATACAGTAAGAACTGAAACTGCTAATATCTTCCATCACATTTGTAAAGTTAAAAAATAGCAATGAAAAATACTATTGAGTTCTTAAAATACAACAGATGCACTTTATCTTCAGAATTAGAGCAGCATTGCTGCTAAGGATAATTAGGCAGTTAACTAGATAAACAGAAGACTAAAGTTGTCTGTTCAGGATACCCAGAGATATTGGTTCTGATGGTGACCATGAGAATGTCACCAAATGTGCAGAACACAACCATGTCATCACCAACACGTTCTTTCGCCAGAAAAACAAGTTCAAGACATCATGGAAGCATCCCCGGTCAAAGCATTGGCACCTCTTAGACTACGTAATCAGACGTGCCAGAGACTGCTGCGACATGCTTCTCACAAGAGCCATGACAGGTGCTGACAACTGCTGGACAGACCACAGGCTAATCAAGATCGCCCCCAGGTGCAGACTCCAAGGAAGAAAGACAAGGCGCAAAATGAACACCCAAGCCCTTCAGGAGCCCTTCAAATGAGCCCTTCTCCAAACAGCATTCAAGGACCATCTACCCATAGAACACCCCGAAAATGTTGAGGAACATTGGAACAAACTGAAGACCTCCATCATCACAGCCTGCGAAGAAACTATTGGATATCAAACCAAGAAACATCAAGATTGAAGAAAATGACAACAAGATCCAACAGCTAATTGACAAGAAAAGGAAAGCCTTCCAAACATGGCAGAGACACGTCAACTGTGCTGCTAAGAAAAAGATCTACGCCAGTGCAAAAGCTGAGGTCCAAAGGAGGACAAGAGAACTCAAGAACATCTGGTGGACAAAGAAGGCTGAAGAAATCCAACACCTGGCAGATACCCATGATGCTCAGGGATTTTTCAAAGCCACAAAGGTCATCTATGGACCAAGAAACCATGACATACAGTCTCTACGCTCATCAGATGGAACCAAATTTCTGAAGGACAAAAAAATCAATTGCACTACATTGGGAAGAACACTACCAAAGATTCTCTCACAAATCCCACAACAACAAACCAGGGATGAGCTTTCAGCACTGCCTAGTTTGGAAGAAGTCAGCAATACCATCAGACAACAAAAAAATAACAAAGCCAGCAGACCTGATGGGATCCCTACTGAAATCTTTAAAGAGGGAGGACCTGAGCTGACACAACTCCACCAGCTCATAGAAAAAGTGTGGGTGACCAAGAAAATCCCAACAGATTTCAAGGATGCCACCATCATCACCCTCTTCAAAAAGGGGAAAGAACAGACTGCGGAAACTATCGAGGTAACCTCAGCTAGGAAAATCCTTGCAAGAATCCTTGTAAACCGCCTTCTACCCCTCTCAGAAGACACCCTCCCAGAACAGCTTCCGGCCCTTCAGAGGAACAGTGGACATGATCCTCACTGCACGACAGCTCCAAGAAAAATGCAGGGAACAAAATCAACCACTGTACATGGCATTCATTGACCTTGCAAATGCATTTGACACAGTGAATTGCAGTGCTCTCTGGACCATCCTCCAAAAAATTGGGTGTCCTAACAAATTTGTAAACTACCTGAAACGGAATGTTGGAGGACAGGAAAAGAGATTTAAAGGTGGGCTCAAAGCCAACCTTAAAAACTCTGGCATAGACACTGAGAACTGGGAAGCCCCGGCCCTTGAGCTCTCCAGCAGGTCAGCTGTGACCGGCAGTGCTGTAGAATTTGAAGAGGCACGAATAGAGGGCGAAAGAGAGATGTGCCAAGAAGAAGGCACTTCAAGCCAACCCCGACCGGCACCACCTTCTACCTGAAAACCGATGCCCTCTCTGCGGAAGAACATGCAGGACAAGAATAGGACTCCACAGTCACGTATGTACCCACCTCCAGTACACCGATCTTGGAAGACAATCCTACTCGGACAACAAGGGATTGCCTAAGTAAGTAAGTCAGATGGTGATCATGCTTCCAGGATGTGGTGGGAGGAGAAATAAACCTGTCTTGTATAGCAACTACGCAGCTAGCATTGACTGAGATTGTGAATCTGTGTGTACAGCCATACCTCACTTTTAATAGAGTATCTGACAAAGAAGCTTCAGCCAAAGTATGATAGCTGGGACCCTACACTGGTTGCGTAACGCGGGTCTGAATTAATGAGAGGAACACGGGCGCGAGACAGCACAGCGAGTGAGAGACGCAGCTGTGTCAGAGTCGTGGGAATGTTCACCAGAAAGGGGGAGAGGAAACATTTCTATCCCGTTTACCACCTTCGTAAGCCGTTGTTTATCATTTAACAGTAAATAACTTTAACATTACTTCACTCACCTTAATTACTATGCTTGACTGTTTGCTGTCCCCCCCCCCTTTCTGACCCGCGTTATGCACGTCTTCCCTTCCTTAATTCTGACCCACGATGCACAAGTAGCGTAGCTTTGGGTCCCAGCTATCATACTTTTGCCAAAGCTGCTTTTTATGATGATATTTTAATACCTTTCTAGTTGCCACCTTTTCCTTCTTATCCTCTATTTAGTTCCAAGGGTTTTTTGAAGCAGGGCTGGAGTAACACAGATTTTCCATATTGTTAGGTTACCTAAATATCAGATTGCAGTATTGTGTCTGCAGGAAAACATGGAACACTCTCCAGCTGAGAAAAATGGGATTCCTGTGGCAGTAGTGTGAACCAGTCTAAAACAAGCAAGGTAGGTAGCAGCTTCTTGTAGAATTTCTTTCTGAGCATATGTTAATATCAAAACTATGAGAAAGCAGATAAACCTACTTCAATACCAACTCTCAGTGTGTTTTCAAAAGCATAAATGTATACTTATGCCCACAAAAAGGAAAAATAATAGACTAATGGAGATTGGTGAAAGAAAGAAAAATATTCCTTGTATACATTTTGTAAGAAATCTTAAGGTGGTCCCTAGGTGATTCAATGTGATTGTTTATTAGTGCAAGACTTATCTGACCTTATTATTTCACTTCACATTTGTGTAAGCTAACCTTAAAAACTGTGGCATAAAAACTGAGAACTGGGAAGCCCTGGCCCTTGAGCGCTCTAACTGGAGGTCAGCTGTGACCAGCAGTGCTGCAGAATTTGAAGAGGCACAAATGGAGGGCAAAAGGGAGAAATGTGCCAAGAGGAAGGCCCATCAAGCCAACCCTGACCGGGACCACCTTCCATCTGGAAACCGATGCCCTCACTGTGGAAGAACATGCAGATCAAGAATAGGGCTCCACAGTCACCGACGTACCCACCACCAAGACACTGCACTTGGAGGGTCATCATACTCAGACAATGAGGGATCGCATAAGTAAGAAAGTAAATCTGTGTACTTTGTCACAGTCATAGAAACACCTTCCATCACTATCTCCTTCCCTGAAGCATCAGCCATTCTTTTAATTTGGTCTATTACCCTCTATTAGCAAAATATAACCCTCCCTGCTGCCAAATGGCATTTTGGAAAGTAGTTTGAATCTGTATACAATAAGGTCATCCATGTTCTTAGCATTTAACTGCTGAAATCATCCGGGCGTCCCCTGGGCAACATCAAATCATCCAGGCGTCCACTGGGCAACGTCCTTGCAGACGGCCAATTCTCTCACATCAGAAGCGACTTGCAGTTTCTCAAGTCGCTCCTGACATGGCAAAAAAAAAACCTGCTGAAATATTCCTATACTTGTAAGAAAGACAAGATACGTGTTGCAAGTAGAGTGACAAGAATATCTAAATGACAAACAAACCTGGAGCATATATTTTAATGTTGATAAAGCAGAGTAATCTACCTTCATAAATTCAGTTTGGCCATCACATTAAAAGTAAAGAGGACCTGGGATCTGAAAAAACACAATTTAAAAAAATATTTTCTTTTTCCCCATTAAGATCAAGATTCTTTTAGAACTAAATATGTAATTTACCTGTTCTAGCAAGATTATTGCACAGAGCCAAGCAATCAAAACAGGATATAGACACTCGAAAGTACTGTTAGTATATATAAATGGTCATTAAGATACATATGCTCTGAAAGGATTACAAAGGACACATAGCCACATGAACACACACCTGTTCAATGTCCACGTATCAAGATGAACGGATATGGAAACAGAGATAAGCTTCTACAAGATTATAATTGTCCTTTGGACACGAGAACAGACACTATTGTAAGATCAAATTCTTCCTTCCGTCTGCAGATTCCAAATTCACTTCAGAAGGTTGGGGAGCCCTCCAGAAGGCAGGCAGTTATTATGTTGGGGGTGATGAATCTCCCACTGCATGAACAGAAGATGACTAAAAATTATTTATTCATTTACAGAGAACATAAGAACCAAACTTTTCATCAGTTCAGATTTAATCCATATAAATCTAATTTCTTCTCATCTACTTTCTAAAGTTGATTCAAGCTACAGAGTTAAGGCAAAATATTGATTCAAGCTACAGACTTAAGCTACAGACTTAAGGCAAGAATTTGTAAATATAAGTTGAGCACCCCCTATTTACAATTTTAAAATCCAAAATTGCCCATATGAATGGGCTGAGATAGCAAAATCTTAGATTTGGGATAGTTCAAGGCAGCCAAACTATGTTTCATCCACACCTAATATTAGAAATATTGTACAAAATTATCTTCCAGATATGTGTATAAGGTATATATGAAACATAAATGAATTTGGTACTTGGACCTGGGTTCCATCTCTAATATATTTAACTATCTATCTATCTATACACACACATGGGTATCCAAAAATCTGGGGGGGAGGGGGGGAGGGAACCCTGAAATCCAAAACATTTCCAGTTTCAAGCATTTCAGATAAGCAATACTCAACCTGAATTAGTAGGTGAACCTTTTTATTAGTTCACTCTTTTTGTCGTCCCCCTTTTCTGTATGTGTGTATACAGACATTCTAAATATATATATCAAATTAGGTGAAGCTTTGATAGTTTAAATAGGCCTGCACAGTACTCTAAATGAGGAAGACTAGTAAGAAATGTTCACACATTACAAAACAAGTCTATGGCACCTTCCACACAGCTGAATAAAATCTCACACTGTCTGCTTTAAACTGGAATATATGGCGGTGTGGACTCAGATATCCCAGGGTGAATCTAGACAGCCCTTTATCCCAAAAGCATCCGCATTTTTTTTAAAGCGGATATTGTGTGAGGGCTGTCCACACCCACCCCAGAAAGCGAGCACTTTCTGGGGTGGGTTGTCCACGCATTTCCTTGGGACTAGCCCGAGAGAACCTGTGGAGGCCCTCTCCCCAAGCCCCCAGACCCTTTAGAAAAGTTTTTAAAAACTTACCAGCCTGCAGCATCCCTCAGAGCAGTTCTCCTGGGACATACAAATGATGCACCAGGAGAGCGGGGGGGGGGGGGGGGGGGGGGGGGGGGAGCTAATTTCCTCTGGACAGCCCCCTTTATATTGCGGAATGGGCTATCTGGATGGGCCCCCAGATCAAAGCAGATATTGTGGGATTTTCTGTATTGATATTCTAGGTTATATGGCTGTGTGTTACGGTACTTTCAACTCTTTTACAAGACAGATATATATAGATATAGATATATATAGATATATAGATAGATATACACACACACACAAACACACACCTTGTGAGTAGGTCCTAGAAAGCCTATAAAAGAACATCAATAAATAATGCAGTAGTACTATTAATAATAATATCAGGGGACCAAGCTTTCTGAATAGGAATTTTTCTGTAAAATAATAATCCTTTCCCTAAAGATGCAAAGTCAGGGGGAAGTAATCGAGTGTTTTAAAACAGAGGTCCTATAATTTCATCATCCAGATTTTTTTTAAAAAATCCATAAGCTCCAGTCAGTTTGACTGATAATCAGGACTTCTGGGAGCTGAAGTCAAATACATCTGGACAATCAAAGACTGAGAGCTAGGTTTCTAAAACACGTCAAAGGGTTAGCTGTAAGGACCAACAGGCTTGGCCAATACATCAAATAATATGAATACCGTCAGCTCAGTGTTTTATATGTGTGCTTCCAAGTCATTTTATATAAGGGGCAGCGCTTTACTATACCATTGTATATAATGGGAATTGCACATCCATGGATTTTGCCATCCAAAGGGAGTCCTTGAACAATAACCCAGTGGGTAATAAGGGATCACTATATTGAAGCTTCATATTCATGCACTCCTTTTCTCTTTAGAACTTCTCTCAAGAAATTGAAAGTTTAGCTTCCATTGTTTAAAAATTATCAGCAATTAAGAGTTATGTCTTGAACTGGACAACATGTTCCTAGTCAATTACTTCATTGAAACAAAATAAAAAATCAAACAATGTTTTATGGAATATGTATATTTTAATAAAAATTGCAATAAGCCAGAGTTAAAAGTAACCACAGTTTAGAATTCAGCATAACGCTAAACTGCTCTTAACTGAAAACAGAAACAAAGATTTCCAATCTCCTCAGAGTCATGCCAAAGGAGAAAGGATCACATGAGCCTATGGCTCATGCAAGCAAAGCTAAACCACAGCTTAGTATTATGCCTGAACCAGGCCAATATGCATTATATAATACCACTCAGACTCCTCTGAAATGCACTAAGGTTCTTCCAAAGTAGTTGATGTTGAAAATGCTCTGGTGATGATCAAAAGTCTGAAAACACTTGGGTTCTTCTCAGACTTAAGTCATAAGCAGAGAGGGGCACTGATAAGAGCTTCATGGATAAAGGTTTCATCGTGGAGTTCAGCTGAGAGGACTGTCCAATGGAATGAATATATATATATATATATATATATATACACACACACACACACACACACACACACACACACATGCATGTATAACAAAGCCTTAAATGATGATTTCTGAGATACTATCAATACCAAAAATTCTGCTGATGGTACAGAATTAAAATATGGATCATTATATGCCAGATCAGTTATCCATCGCTTCCCATTAAGTGTCTCTGTTTGCTTGTCAAAATAAGACCTGAAGCTATCCCATATATTTCAACAGCTGTCTCAGAGCTGTGGTTGTAAAATGTTTTCTAGCCATGATGCAAGCAGAGCACTTACAAGTGTTGAGTGTGTACTGCAACCCAGTACACAAGAGAAAATTGACTGGATTGCCTCTCCTCTTCCAGTGTATTTCCTGACAAAATAAGTTGCAGTCTGTATGCCAATAAAACATATTTTGACTTTCCGGAGCCTTGATGAAACTCTGTTGTTGTGTGCTTCCAAGTCATTTTCAACTTATGAGGACTCTAAGGCAAACTTATCATGGGGATTTCTTAGCCAGATTTCTTCAGAGAAAGGTTTGTCTCTCAGGCTGAAAGCGTACGACTTGCCCACAGTTACCCAAGGGATTTCGATTGCTGAGCAGAGATTCAAACTTTGGTCTCCAGGGTTGTAGTCCAATGTTCAAACCAGCAGACAACACTACTAAAATAATAATCCTGAGATATTACTGAGCTCTCCATTGCAAAAAAAAAAAAAAGTTTCACAAAAGGTGATAAGGTATATCTAAAAAGTAGCCTCCAAATTGGCCACGTCAAAGTCTCAGAATCATAGAATCACAAAATTGGAAGTGATCACATGGACCATCAAGTCCAACCGCCTGCTATGTAGGAAAAGCACATACAAGAAAAGTCTTCCAAAACTATACCCTGAAATCTTGTGATTTCAAAATCTATGCAGGAATATCGAGAGGCTCTTTTGTGCAAACCATAAGCTAGAAACATCAATCTATTTGATCATCTGCCTGCAACAAATTTCTATTGGAACAAAATGGTTTATATCTTGAAATATTTCAAAAATATTTCCTGAAAGTAAAACACAGAATAAGAAACACAACCAAAGATATTACTCACATGAGATCACAGCTGTGAATGATTTCATTTTGATCTAGTTCAAAGGATTTGTCACCTGCAGAATACAGAGTTCACATTCCAACCCCAAAGGTGAACCACTCAATGCCATGCTGGAGATGCAATTATAAGCTCTAATGTAGGCATTCTCAAACCGCAACCCTCCAGCTGTTTGGGCCTCCAACACCCAGAATTCCTGACCATTTAACAAGTTGGCTAGGGCTTCTGGGAGTTGGAAGGACCAAACAGCTGGAGGGCCACAGTTTGAAAATGCCTGCTGTAAAGGTTGGCCACCACAATGCTGATACACACCTTAGTCACAACTCATCAAACAATCTGTGAATAACAATATCCTATTTATTTTATATTTATTTATTTATTGCCAGTTTCATTCTAAATTCTCACGAACATAAATTCAAAACCAAACTATTTGTCGAGATTCAGCTTTCAGAATATTTGCATAGAGACCCTAATGGTAACCTAGTTGAATGTCTCACCTTCTTGTCATGTTCCTTCCCAGCAGTCTCATTTCTTTGGAATCAGAAAGAAAAAGCAAAACAGCACAGAGACAACTACTTGATTTCATGTGCTGCTGCAACTTGACACTTATTTTATAAGCATAAACAGTTCAGAGTTACTTCACACTATTCTCTTTCATGCCACTTTCTGGCTATATGCAGGGGCCTCAGATATCATGACACTTGTAATAACAATAGTTCAGTCAGTCCCTAACAAGCTCACACTTGAACTTCCTCCAACACTCAAGAGCCTACTTAATATTAATGAAGTATATTCTAATTATGTCTGTACTTTTAGGAGACATGTTATATATACATAATGATTTACGCTAGTCAACATATATTTCTTTGAGTGAAAGTTGCCCAATACGTTGAGAAAGAGGGAAGTCTGACAAACTAGCTGTCATTTTATGCAAAGCCACAGCCTATGATGAACTGTAAAAAACAAAAACAAAAGAAAAACACTTCCCTTCCTGGTTTAAAGTACTTTTACAATTAACTTTACACATTTAATTCATACAGTCTATGATCACGTTATACACCTGTGCCTTCTTTACACACCAAGTCTTCTGCCCACATTACAATCAGCCCTTCTCTCATATATATATATATATATATATATATATATATATATATATATATATATATATCACACACACACATATATGGATTCTGCTTCCACAGATTTAACTATACGCAGATTGAAAAAAAACACACACACATGAGAATACTTTGTGTGTTGTTGAAGGCTTTCATGACTGGAATCACTGGGTTGTTGTGAGTTTCCCGGGCTCTAAGTTTCAGAAGCACTGTCTCTTGACGTTTTGCCCACATCTATGGCAGGCATCCTCAGAGGTTGAGGGGTTTGTTGGAAACTAGGCAAGTAAGATTTATATATCTGTGGAATGTCCAGGATGGAAGAAAGAACTCTTGTCTGCTTGAGGCAGGTGTGAATGTTGAAATTGGCTGTCTTTATTAGCATTTAATGACTTTGCAGCTTCAAAGCCTGACTCGTTACTGCCTGTGGGGATCCTTTGTTGGGAGGTGTTAGCTGGCCCTGATTGATTCTTATCTGGAGTTTACTATATACCATGCAGCTGTGGACAAGTCTACGTAGGGACCACCAAACGCAGCATCTCCCAAACACAAATCAAGGAACGTGAAAGGAACTGCAGACAAACTGAACCTGAGAAGTCAGCCATAGCAGAGCACCTGGACACTGCATATTATTCGAGAACAAAGAAATGTTGGACAACTCTAACAACTACCATGTCAGACTACCCAGAGATGCCATTGAAACCTACAAGCAGGTGGACAATTTCAACAGAAAGGAAGAAACCATGAAAGTGGACACCAAATCTGGCTAGGTAAGTAAAGGTAAAGGTTTTCCCCTGACATTAAGTCCAGTCGTGTCCGACTCTTGAGTGTGGTGCTCATCTCCATTTCTAAGCTGAAGAGCTGGCATTGTCCGTAGACATCTCCAAGGTCATGACTGCATTATTATTATTATTATTAACTTTATTTGTACCCCGCTAGCATCTCCCGAAGGACTCGATGCGGCTTACAAAGGCCAAGGCCTCAACAAAACAACAGCATAACAAATACAACTCAAAGCAAAATCAAAAACATAAAGCAATAACAATAGAACAACAAAACATTACACCATAACACAATTAAAACTAGGGCCGGACCAAGTAATGGGTACAGATTAAAAAGTGCTGGGTGTGACAGGTGGTATGTTGGATTTCAGGGTAAGTGCAATGTGCAGAGAATCTTAAACTCTAATAAAGTGCTTCTGGGACATCATGTTGGAGTTTTCCTATTCCGGAAAGGCACATCGGAATAGCCAGGTCTTCAAACTCTTCCTAAAGACTGCCAACGTGGGTGCATGGAACGCTGTTACCTTCCCGCCGGAGCGGTACCTATTGATCTACTCACATCTGCATGTTTTCGAACTACTAGGTTGGCAGAAGCTGGGGCTGACAGCGGAAGCTCACACCGCTCCCCAGAATCGAACCTGTGACCTTTCAGTCAACAAGCTCAGCAGCTCAGCACTTTAACCTACTGTGCCACTGGGGATTCCCCCAAGTCTGGCTACCAGTATTAAAAAACTCAAAAATCAGGACAGTAAAACAGGGGAATTCCAGACAAGAATCCATCAGGGCCAGCTAACACCTCCCAACAAAGGATTTCCCCTGAGCAGCAACCATCCAAGCTTTGAAGCTGCAAGGCCATTAAATGCTAATCAAGATGGCCAATTGCAACATTCACACCTACCTCCAGCTCATCCCTTGTTTGGGTATCAGCCAGCATGTCAACGACTTAAATCACGAAATAGTTTTCTTAGATCTACAGAGACACTCGCTGGAACACCTCAGCAAGCGAGAGTCCAAAAGTGGCAGGCTCAAACCCAGCACCTTAATCCGTGGATGATACCAGATGAGAGACTCCCTCTTAGGCACACAGAAGACTGGGCGACTTGGAAGGCGCTGAACAGGATGCAGAGCCAACCTTAAGCCAACCACAAGATGCAGAGCCAACCTTAAGAAATGGGGCCACAAAGTGGAATCCACGACATGCGAGTGCGGAGAAGAGCAAACCTGCTTCAATGCAACCTGAGCCCTGCCACATGCACAATGGAGGACCTTCTTGCAGCAACACCAGAGGCAATCCAAGTGGCCAGATACTGGTCAAAGGACATTTAATCATCTACCAAGTCTGCAAAATTTGTGCTTTTTAAATCTGTTTGTTTGTTTTGTTCTGTTAGAAATGTAATACAATGGTATGGTTGCTGATCACACGATAAATAAATAAATACCTACCTGAAGAAGACAAAAGTTCTTTCTCCCACCCTGGATATTCCACAAATATAGAAACAGGTGGTCCCTACATAGACTTGTCCACAGCAGTAACCAGTCAGGCTTTGAAGCTGCAAAGTCATTAAATGTTAATAAAGACACCTAGTTTCAACATTCACAGCTGCCTCAAGCAGACAAGAGTTCTTTCTTCCATCCTGGACATTCCACAGATATATAAACCTTTCTTGCCTAGTTTCCAACAGACCCCTCAACCTCTGACGATGCCTGCCATAGATGTGGACAAAACATCAGAAGAGAATGCTTCTGGAATATAGCCATACAGCCTGGAAAACTCACAGCAACCTAGAAAAACTTGGTGGTTTTTTTGCCATGTGTAAATATGGGACATCATTTCACTATGCCATTGCCTATAACGGGACGTGAGCGTCCATGGGTTTTTATATCTATTGGGAGTCCTGGAACGAAGCCCCAGCAGATACCAAGGGTCCACTGCCCTCTATTAATAGAAACAGCTGTGCCTCCCTGGGGACAGTAACACGCTAATCTGGTGAGTGTGTGCAGGCATTTCTGTAGGGTTGACAGAACTAACCTAGGCCCTGGYTGAATATCCATGGAGGGTGCGTCTATAGCAGGCATGGGCCAGCTTGGGCCCTCCAGGTGTTTTGGACTTCAACTCCCACAATTCCTAACAGCCTAAGACTGGGAGTTGAAGTCCAAAACACCTGGAGGGCCCAAGCTGGCCCATGCCTGCTGTATAACTACAGAATCCACCAACACCTTTGAAACCCATTGATTTCCTTGCCTATCTCTCGTCCTCAACCTCCAGCCTTAACCACAAGGGTCGTGCTTCATTCAAGTAGGCCTCAGTGGATCCCCTTCGCATGTGCTGCGCCCCCTCAGCGGCCCAATGCGGTCCTTCCAATTCCCTGAAGGGACCCCACCTTGGTTGCCTTCCTCTCTCGATTCTCTTCTCAGAATGACCGAGCCTCTTACCTCGTCGCCGCCTGAATTAGTGTAACGCTTCCCGCTCGCTAGCTGGCTCCCTCCCTCAGCTCCCTCCGCGTTCTGCCGGCGAACAGCTCTGCGCGTGTGCCGAGGGGGCCCGCGCCTTGGCTCCGCCCCCGTGGGCGGGGCCTCCCCGTCCGAGCCAATGAGAGGCCACCGAGTGTGTTCTAGACCCCTCCCCCTCCCTCCGAAGTCTCCCTRTTCTTCCTCTCCCCTTTTTTTTTTTTACTGGCGCACCTCACAACCGCCGCCGAGGAGCATCCTCATTCCATATGCCGCCGAGGTGGCTTCTGATTGGCTGGCTCTGGGTGGCGCGCGAGGGGCTGGCGCTCTGACGTTCTAAAACGGCTGTTGAAGGCGAGGAGTGAAAGGGGTGGGGGGGGAGAGAGAGAGAGAGAGAGCTGTACAAGGGTTACTAGCGGTCGTTCTTGGCGCGAGGTCACGGGAAGAGGGGGAGGAGCCTGCCGCCGTTACTGCTGCCGCCGCCGCCTTCTAATTCTAATGTGTCGAAGGCAAAAAAAGGGAGACACGCAAACAACTGCAACGCTGCTCTGATTTTGTATGAGTACTAATAATATAATACTATCATATAATAGATAATATAATATAATAGATAATATTGCTGTAATAATAATAATAATATAATAATAATATAATACTATATTACTATAATATATAATAATATATTACTATAATAATAGACCGTAGTAGTAAATAGATAATACAATATTGCTATAATATTAATAATATAATTTAATAATATAATAAATAGATAATATTGCTGTAATAATAGACTGTATAAATAATATAATATATAATTTTGATAATATGATAATATAATATAATAAATAGATAATATTGCTGTAATAATAGACCATAGTAGTAAATAAATAATACAATAATATTACTATAATATTAATAATTTAATGTAATAATATAATAAATAGATAATATTGATGAGATAATACACTGTAATAGTAAATAAATAATATAATAATATAATATTACTATAACATTGATAATATAATATATTAATTTTGATAATATGATAATATAATATAATAAATAGATATTACTGTAATAATAGACCATAGTAATAAATAATACAATAATATTACTATATTAATAATATAATTTAATAATATAATAAATAGATAATATTGCTGTAATAATAGGCTGTAATAGTAAATAAATAATATAATATAATATTACTATAACATTGATGATATAATATAATATATTAATTTTGATAATATGATAATATAAAAATATATTAAATAGATACTATTACTTTAAAAATAGACCGTAGTAGTAAATAAATAATACAATAATATTGCTATAATATTAATAATATAATTTGATAATATAATAGATAATATTACTGTAATAATAGACTATAATAGTAAATAAATAAATAATATAATATAATAATATATTAATTTTGATAATATGATAATATAATAATATAATAAATAAATAATATTACTGTAATAATAGACCGTAGTAGTAAATAAATAATGCAATAATATTACTATAATATTAATAATATAATTTAATAATATAATAAATAGATAATAATGCTGTAATAATAGACTGTATAAATAAATAACATAATATATTAATTTTGATAATATGATAATAAATAAATGATATAAATAAATAAATAAATAATGATGCAATCATATTACTATAATAATAATAATATAATTTGATAATATAATAAATAGATAATACTGCTGTAATAATAGACCGTAATAGTAAATAAATAAATAATATAATATTACTATAACATTGATAATGATAATATAATATAATATTGAAATCCACAAGCATGTGGACAATTTCAACAGAAAGAAGAGACCATGAAAATAAACAAAATCTGGCTACCAGTATTAAAAAACTCTAAAATTACAACAGCAAAACAGCAGACAGGAAACAACCAGGCACATCTTAACACCTCTCAACAAAAGATTTTCCCAAGCTCAGACAGGCCTTCAAATGCTAATGAAGGTGGTCAGTTGAAACATTCACACCTAGCTCCAGCAGAGAAGAGCTCCTTGCCCCACCCCAGCCATTCCACAGATATATAAACCCATTGTCCTAATTCCAACAGACCTCACTACCTCTGAGGATGCTTGCCATAGATGCAGGCGAAACATCAGGAGAAGTGCGTCTAGAACATGGCCCTATAGCCCGAAAAAACCCACAAGAACCTAGTGATTCCAGCCATGAAAGCCTTCGACAATACATAATATAATATATTAATTTTGATAATATGATAATATAATAAATAGATAATATTACTGTAATAATAGACTGTAATAGTAAATAAATAATACAATAATATTACTATAATGTTAATAATATAATTTGATAATATAAAAATAGATAATATTGCTGTAATAAATAATAATAATAGTAAATAAATAAATAATATAATAATATTACTATAACATTGATAATGATAATATAAAAATATATTAATTTTGATAATATGATAATATAATAATATAATAAATAGATAATATTACTGTAATAATAGACCATAAAATTAAATAAATAATACAATAATATTACTATAATATCAAGAATATAATTTAATAATATAATAAATAGATAATATTGCTGTAATAATAGACTGTAATAGTAAATAAATAAATAAATAAATATGTTATATTATCAATGTTAGAGTAACATTATAATAATTTAATAATATAATAATAAATAATTAATATTACTATAATAATAACCACAGTAGTAAAGGTAAAGGTCTCCCCCTGATATTAAGTCCAGTCATGTCCAACTCTGGGGGTTGGTGCTCATCTCCATTTCTAAGCCGAAGAGCCGGCGTTGTCCTTAGACACCTCCAAGGTAATGTGGCTGGCATGACTGCATGGAGCACCATTACCTTCCCTCCGGAGCGATACCTATTGATCTTCTCACATTTGCATGTTTTCGAACTGATTTACTATTAATCAAATCCGCTCCCCAGATTTGAACAGGTGACCTTTCAGTGAGCAAGTTCAACAGCTCAGCACTTTAACCCACTGCAACATTGGGGCTCCTAACAACCGTAGTAGTAAATAAATAAATATTATTATAATATTACTATAATATTGATAAAGATAATATAATAATTTATTGATATTATAAATAATTAATATTAATAAAATAATCATAGTAGTAAATAAATAATAATATAACAATATTACTATGATAATGGTAATAATTTTAAAATACTGTGATAAATAATATTACTACAATACACCATAATAAAAGTATGATAAAAATAATATATACTGATAATACATTCTAATAGTAACTAAATAATAATAATATAATGGAATAGAATAATTTAATAATAAATATAAGATTTAAGGTTTAATGCTTTTGTGTCAAAAGAATTTTATATTGGGGATGTGGTAATTGGTTATATCATTATGTGATTTTTAACTATGTTTTAATTTCTGTATTGTTTTATATGTTGTAAGCCACCTTGGGTCTGTCTACGAAGAAAGGCGGGGTAAAATGTATTAAATTAATAAATGAATGAATAATTATTCATATTAGTGATATCTCCATTCCTGTGTATAGAATGTATTCCAGGAGGTATACTGTATCCCTTATCTGAAATGCAGAGGTGTTTTCAATTTCTGTTTTATTTTCCCCAACCGGATTTTTTAATAACCTACATTTGCATAGATATATACATAATGGGTATTTAATTGTTGCATATCCAGTTGTGCATGCAAAAGTACACACAAGAAGGTACTTTTACGCAATCATTTTTACTAATAATGGTTTTGTGCAGGAGATTAAAAAAAATAAAAGCCTTGATTCCTGCAACTGAGCCTGCAGAAAGCAAAGATGTCACTATCTCAGCCAGTATTTTGGATTAACTCTGGGTAAGGCATGCTCAAATGGTATTGTTATTGTGATGATGGTGGTAGTGATGACGGGGGTGATGCATCGGGTCCCTTTTGATTGGTTGCTGCTGCTGCGCTTCCTTCCATCCGCGCGACCCACGCGAGTCTCCTCTGAGCTGTCTTTTACCAATCGGGGCGCGCGCGGGAGGATTTTGCAGCGCGTTGCGTCATAGCGTGATAGTCACGTGACGACTCCCCCTCCCCTTCTATTTTTTTTTTCATTTGGTCCAAGGAAAGGATGAATGAAGAAGGAAGCTTGAGTAGATCTGGAGGCTTAAAGGAAGGGAGGGGACGGAGGAGAGAGAGAGCAGAATCCTTGCCAGAAAATGTATTGCTGATATTGATTGCCTTGGGGATGCTCTTAGCTAATCAAATTCTATGTAATCGAAATGTTAGTACAATCTATCTATCTATCTATCTATCTATCTATCTATCTATCTATCTATCTATCTATCTATCTTCTATCTATCTATATATAAATGCTCTGTGCATAATGAGTGCCTTAAAAACAAAAGAACCAATGAATGAAATCACACGAAATTTGGCAACAAAATGTCTCACAACACAAGGAGTGACCATCACTCAAAAATTATGATTTTGTCATTTGGGAGTTGTAGTTGCTGGGATTTATAGTTCACCTACAATCAAGGAGCATTCTGAACTCCACTGACGATGGAATTGAACCAAACTTGGCACACAGGACTTCCAAGACCAACAGAAAACACTAGAAGGTTTTGGTGGGCATTGACCTTGAGTTTTGGAGTTGTAGTTCACCTACATCCAGAGAGCACTGTGGACTCAAACAGTGATGGGTCTGGACCAAACTTGGCACGAATACTCAATATGCTCAAATATAAACACAGATGGAGTTTGGGGAAATAGACCTTGACAGTTGGGAGTTGTAGTCACTGGGATTCACAGTTCACCTACAATCAAAGAGCATTCTGAACTCCACGAACGACAGAATCGGGGCAAACTTCCCACACAGAACCCCCATGACCAACAGAAAATACTTAAGGCCATCCAATGCAACTCCCTTCATCAGGGCAAGAAAATGTAATCAAAGTCCTCCTGACAAAGAGCCATCCAGCCATAGATTAGATAGATAGATATGATTCACACACAGAGAGATATAGTATCATAGATTTGAAAGGAACCCTTAAAG